TTCGGCATCTTGTGCTTACTTCCTTGCGTACGGATGACAGCTGCGTATGACTTAATTTATTTTCTGGTCCTTTCACTTCCAGAGACAGTTGTACGAGCTGTGTAACTGCCTCGAGGGTGCTTGACCATTTTCACACAACGTGGTGCGATCATCCCCCTTGCGCGGAGTGAGGGTTCACGACCCCGCACAACATGATCTACTCGACCACCATTATGGTTACAATAAAGAGGCGGGACGCATCACTCGCTCTGGAGGAGTTCACACTACCCCCGATGCTACAGGAGGTCGTCACCCTCCTAGGCATACAAGGCGTGGCCAAGGAGACACTGCACGTCGCGAGTAGAGATGAAGACGAGCTGCTGTTAAGACTGGCAAGCCTGCGGTTAGGAGAGGAACTACAATAGCAGCCGTGACCCTCGCCGACATTCCGAAGCCTAGATTCGAAATGACACCAGTGGTGTTGGAAAGTGCCACGGGCACGTGAGCCAGACGGCCAAGAGCATGCCGACAATTTCCCCGCGGCAACGCCGCAAGCGAACCGACCCGACGCCAGGGATGAAAGAGGTGGGAGAAAGAACGAACGAAACAACCGCCACGCCTGACCTCGCGGAGACAGTCACAGAATCGAGCACAACTACACACCAAAGAAACAACCGACCAGGTTAAGGGCACCCGGATCAGCTGGCCGGGCTGGAAACCATACTGAGGGACACCAACAAACTCGTCGTGCCTAACGGAGTGATCTCTCCCTCAACTTCAGGCGAACCGAGCTGGAGAAAGAAAGGTAAGGGGGAGAAAAGTGGACTACGTTCTCGACGATCACCAGCTGCTCTGGTGTGCACCCCGGGAACGCATGCGTTCGCGGTGCCCCGCGAACTTCTTCCCGTACTGGCGTCCGTACACGGCGCACATGGATACCCTTCTGTCACCGTACTACGATTCTCATCGACCACGAGTATCAGTGGCCTTACTCTCAAGAAGGATACCCGAGGGTATTTGCTGTCCTGCAAGTATGGTCGGCCAAAGTGCTCGTGGCGCAAACAGATCTCTATGCTGTCCGCGCGACTCCTATTACCCTGGGAAGTACTCTAGATGGACCTCTAGGGCATGAAGGAGACGTCCAGCAGCGGCAATCGGTACCTGCTGATTGTGGTGGACAGGGGGACCAAGTGCCTAGCAGCTTTCCCTCTACCATCGAAGTCAGCCATCGGGGTAAGCCACAAGCTGTTCCAGCTCCTGATGATCTTTGGGCTACCTCTGTCGATCCGGTGCGACCCTAAAGGAAAGTTCATTGCAGAGGAAATGTAATAACACCTGTGCAGGTGGCTGAAGGTATCGCTGGACTAGGACCAGCCAACCACCCGCACGAGCACAAGCAGCGGTTGGACGATTGGGGGCGTGGTTACATAAGGTTCTTTCGGAATCCTGCACGGCCGTGGACGAAGTACGTGCCGGTGGTCACCCAGATCCACCGGGTGGAGTTAGACGAGAGCCTCCCCGGGGGGGCGTCGCCGTACAGAATGGTCTTCAGTCCAAACTCTCGTACGAAGTTCGACGAAATGGCAGCCATGTCGGCCGCTTTCGGGCAAGGGTTTGAACGGACGATGGCGGAGAGGCGGCAGCTACCCTTTGAGGTACGCCAGGCTCTAGTAGTCCGGAGACAGGCGAGCCTAGACCTCAACGAGTGAACGCATGGATCACGCGCGTCGCCGGCTGGGCGGCAAGAAGCTAGAACTTCGCGGCCAAGCTTGCGCGTGACCACCTCACAGGCCCCTGGGAAATTCGTGAACGCCCCCGAGAAGATTTGAGCTTTACCGTCCGGCTCAACCGGCGACAGGTACGTCAGCGGTCGGTTGCAGCCCCGGATATGAAGTCGTTCCAGTTCAGATCATCGCGAGGTTGCAGCCATGATTTCGAGGGCGAATACGCCCACTCCAATCTGGCACGGTGACTTGGGCCTCGCCATCACATTGGTGGTAGCTGTTCCAGTACATATACACTTTGACCGATCGGCGGGTTGCACAAGGCGTGGGCGGCGCACCAGCCTCGTGGGCGTAGGTGTAAAGGATATGCACGCGCGGTGCAATCTGGGAGACCCGTGACGACGAACTCACTTGTTATTAACTCGTGTGGAACAGCAGTAGCTGTTGCCAAGGGAAGGTAGAGGACTGACAAGGATGGGGCCAGGATCAGCTGCTAAAGCAGGGGCTACTAGATCCTGTCCCCTGTTTTGTCCTTCCGTGGGGAGTTGCATCTCCCGCACTTTCCTCTGGGCATTAGCCCCCACTACCGTTTGTAATTTCCTACACATTCAAATCCCGTAACACTAGCCCACCCTGGAGGTTATCATACGCAGATACTAAATCTCGGAACTTGACAATTACTTGTCAAATCCCAATTGAGAGTATCGAGGATGCAAAATACCACAATTTACCCTCCCACACCTCTCACTCGATGGGTCGCAAGCCCATCGTTTGACCTATAAGAAGAAGGTACAGGAAGTTATAAACTGGGGCTAACAGAGAGGAAACCAACGGGAGAGCCGCAACAGGCGAAGGCTACAAATACCATTACAGGTCAGAACCCGAAAGAAAGGGGAAAAGAGGACACGAAAGAAACGAACAAAATAAGCGTCGCCGGAGCGACGGAAAGGGAACGGTGAAAGAATAAGGCCTGTATCGACAAAACGATAAGATATGCCAAATAATCACCACAGTAGCGTGGGAGCAACAACAAAGGTCACGAAACACCTTCAGCCCGCAAACTCTAAGAAGTAGAGACAAAAATATACGAAAATGTACAAAAGCACCACAACGTACCAAAAAGGCCGGAAACCAAACGTTTCGGAAGCGAAGCCAAGAAGAAGAGGGGTCGTGACACCAAACAACAGTTGGCAAGACCTCGGCAGGGAACAGAGAAAGCTCGACCTGGCGGACTAGTGAAGCCAAAAGAAAGAAAACGAGAAAACGAAAACAATTAATGCTGTTGCAAGAGCAACAGAAGGCAAAAACAACCAAGCATGCCATCTAAATGTAGGCGCGCGAAGTAATCAGACAACGAAGCGGTCACAACGTCGCCACGCGACATGTCGATGAAGCAAAGAACACCCTTGAATAGAGCGCTGCCGCTGTGTATTTGGAGGCAACAGGATCCGGAGACGGCAGTTTCGACGGTAGAGTAGCGAACATCGGGAAGGGCGAGCTTGACAGGTCCAGGATCGTCCAAGAAGCGGACGACGTAGAAGTCGGATGGCAGAGGTGGTCCAGAAATCTTGCCCAGCCACCAGAGTCCATCTTGTGTCTTGTACCAGAAGAAGGCGCCCACCGGTAAAGGGGTGTTGGCGAAGCGACGGTCCCATGTTGAACGGGAAACAAGCGAGTAGCCCGAAGGTAAAGCTCGCGCACCTTGAGCACGCGCCAATTCCCTGGTAGCGGCTCCAATGCGCATCGCACGATAACGGCGATTTGTTTGACGATGTTGGTCAGGCGAACCTGCCCAGTACCGGAGAATGTGCGGCTTGGAATGCTGCAGGTCCATCTCATGCTCCCAAGAAGGGCGCAGAAGGCCCTGCCAGTGTGTCTGAAATAAAACAGCTATCGTGCCCCCACGGCCACGGACGGACTGGTGGCCACCAATGCGTTCAACCTCAAAACGTTCAACCGGGGTTGACACGTCGTCTTCCGTAACATGTAGGGAGGAGATATGTTCGCATTAGAGTTCAGGACATACGGAGTAAGACCAGCAGGCAGAAAGCGCGGCAGGTCATCGGTGTCATGCGGGTTGGCGCAAGGCTTGCAACGCACAACCGAAACACGAGGTTTCGAGTCTTGGCCCGGCAGGTCCGAAGGAAGATCCAAGTAAAGCAACTTGGATGCCAAAGGACGACCGTCAGGGCTGTCAGAACATGGGCCGTCAGCCAAGATTTTGAAGGGGCCAGTCCAGAGTAGAGATAACTTGGCTTTGAGAACCTTATCATCTGTGCCTGAACGAACGCCTTGTCGAATAGTAGATTCGGAGTTATACACCCAAACCCATCCACTAACAGTGTAAGAAGGAAGCTTATGGAAAGCGCCCGATAGGGTGGAATTACGCCGCTCGATCCGCGAAACGGACAGGTTATGCTGTTCACGCACCAAGTCGTAAGAACGACGTTGGTGATCAGCAGCAAGATCGCAATATTCGAGTTGATCACGATGCAAGCTTTGGTGGCCACGAGCGTAAGGATGCTCAAGAACAGTCATCGCTAAACGAGGCAATCGATTCATGTGCACCTCATTGGGCGCTAAACCGGTAGCGGCGCTAACGGAATTGTTGTAAGCAAACGCGACGTGTGGTAGATGAACGTCCCAATCATCTTGTCGTTCGTTGACAACCATTGCCAACATCTGAGCCAAAGTGTGTTTGACACGCTCCACACCCCTATTTCCATTGGGATGGTAAGAGCTAGTAGCCACTTTGCGGATAGCAAGACGGGCATACACGACTTGGGACAGTTTAGAGCAAACTGAGAGCCGTTGTAAAGACTCAACGGGCAACCCCAGAAAGGGATATACCTGTTGACAAGGATATCAGCGGTGCCTTCGGCGGTGAATTCTGCACCCGTAACCGCGTACATATCAGCACGGCGGCTGAAACGGTCTGTAAAGATGTAAAGAGAGAATGTATGTGTTGTCATGCGGTGTCAACGGAAGTTGATCAAAATAGTCAACACTCACCGACACACCGGGGCCCGAAGGCAAAGGAAGGAACATGGTAGGCCACCGAGGAGTCTGACGAGACGATTTACGGCCTTGGCATCGCAAACAATGCCGCACCCACCATTTCGTACAAACACTCATGCCAATCCACCAATAGAAACGTTCCAGCATGCAAAGCGTGCGAGCCGCACCGAGGTGACAGGATGCATCAGCGTGGCAGACTTGCACGATCCACGGACGCATGTGCATGGGAACAATAATCCGAATGGGTTCATCGTTAAGAAGGCGAGCAGCACGCCCGCCAGGACGCGCGGTCGTGGAAGACGGGGTCGTTGTTTGCTTGCGAACAAGCAAGACCAAACAATCATCGTCAACATGCAACCGGCCTTTGTTAGACAGGTCACGAATCTCCGAGAGGGTCGACGAGCGGACGGAACACGGTCCGAGAAATCCAAAGGGAGGGCCGAAGGCCGACCCAGAAGGATGAAACGAATNCCATGAGCCAGAGGCGCGGAGGGAGTCGAGGATAAACCACCAGCACCAGAAGTCGAAACCCAACTGGGCAAGGCTGGTGTAATCGACGACGCCTTCGTCGCCGTCGGAGACCGCCGAAACGGTCGAGAGGGAGCAGAAATCCGGGTGGGAGACGAAGAAGGCTCATCGTCAGAAAAACCATAATCAACAGGCGGGAGTGGCGTGCCTGCCACAGCTGCCTTGCGACGGCAAGTCCTGGTGGAGAACACTTGGGTTGGGTCGAGGATCCGACGCAGGTTTCCAAGGGCGGGAACGGCAGACGGAGGCTCGGGCTCGAGAGCCAAAACATCATCGAAAGACTGAGGTAGGGAACCGGACCACACGATGGGAGGTCGATTGCGCAATCGCGACCGCGCCGAACGGCAGAACATCTCGGACGGCAAGGGAGTGATCTTGGGCGACAAGGAAGCAACGTTCCAAATGCCCGATGAAGACGAGAGGCTTGATGGCGGTAGACGCGGACCGTGCCGACAGAAATCAGCGAAGTCAGCCGTACAGGGGGCAAGCCCACCCAAGACCGAAGTCGGGGGATTAGGAACTAGCCCACCCAAGCCAATACCCGCGGCCCGATCACCGGAAGGGGTAAGGCCACACGAATGGATGAAAAACACCGCCTCATCCTCAACCGGGGTCAGACGGCTGCGACCCGAACGGTCGCATTCAGCCGCAGCGACTGGGAGGCGTGAGAGGAAATCATCGTTGCCATTTGCGGAACCCTTGCGATACTCGAGAGTGTAATTGTAGGCGGTAAGAAATTCCAGCCAGCGCTGAACGCGGGTATTGTCTCCCCCACCTTAGCAAAATGCTCGAGAGATTTGTGGTTGGTAAAACTGCGAAATTTTGTACCGCACAAGTAGCCGCGAAGGCGCTTGATACACCACACGATGCTACCCGCCTCGAGATCGAGGGGAGTCCAGTGGCGTTCTGAGTCCAAAGTAGCCCGACTGATGAAGACGATTGGGCGAATGAAACCATCTGGCTGTTCTTGTCCGAGAGTCCCACCAAACCCATCGCGACTAGCATCACAGTAAAGATGAAAAGGTCGCGAGCCGTCTGAAACAGCATCCCACTCTGGATAAACCAAAACAGGGGGATTGGTCAACTCAGCTAACAAAACGCGAACGGCTTGCTCCATGGAAGGGGTGAAGATAAACTTCTCCTGCCTCTTGAGTAGAGTAGTCAGAGGTCGAATGCGTTTAGCCATGTTAGGGAGGAACTTACGGTAGTAGCTGAGACCACCGAGAAGGGAACGCAGTTGCTTGACATCCCTGGGCTTAGGCATTTTGGTGAGGGCCGAAACCTTGGCACCGTTAAGCCTAACGCCGTCAGGGGAGATGGTGTGTCCGAGGAAGTCTGCTTCAGTAGCGCCAAAAGTAGGAGGCATGAGTTTCAAGTTGTGCGTACGCAAGCGTTCAAAGAGTGCGCGCATGGTACCAACATGAGTAGAAGGGGTGTCATCAAAGACGATCAAATCATCCAAGTACGATGCAACACCGTAGAGGTTTTTGATGGCTTCGTTGACAACTTTGCAAAACCACCCAGGGGCAGCCGAACTGCCTTGAGGCATCTTCAACCACTCGAAAAGCCCGGAAGATGTCACGAATGCCGTCAAAGGGATTGTTTCGCGGTGCACCGTGATTTGGTGGAACGAAGATTTCATGTCGAATAGGGACTAAATTCGCCCTTTCAACAACTTGTCCAAAGTATCATCGACTCGAGGAATCGGAAGCTGACTCAAAGCACAAAGCTTGTTGAGCTTACGATAATTGACGGTGATGCGAACACCACCAGATTTCTTCGGTATGACTACCAAAGGGCTCGAGTAAGGCGAGGTCGAATGTTGGATCAAACCTGCCGCAAGGTATTGGTCAAGGATCGCGTCAACTTGTTTCGCCACCGGGGGATCAACGCGGTAGGGGCGAGACGTGACGGGTGCGCTGCCAGGAGGAACTGTGGGCTGAAAAGGAAAAAGCGAACAAGATTCAAAGTCGGTCGAAGACCTCGAAAACACATCATGGTATTCGCACAAAACGTTACGAAGCTGAGTAATGACATCGGGAGTCCAACCCGGGCCGGGGAGATCAAAAGTAAGCTCACGGAGATGGAAGGGGAGCTTATCCCAGACTTGGGAGAAACTTTGACGCTGTTGTGGCGTCAACCGCTCGAGAAGAGCAGGCGAAGGCGGCGAAGCGGGAGAACTGGCGGAACCAAAGTTCCCTCGGCCGCTTGGCGACGGGATGGGCCGCTCGTGTAAATTATGCACAAAGGGGTCAGAGACGGAGTGCGTAACAGGCGAATCAATGCCATCCGCAGAAACAGGACCAGGGACCCAGCTGTTGAAGCAGCGGTGGATTCTGAAGCCGCAGTTTCAAGACCATCGCTCGAACTGTGGCGAGAAACAGCGCTTAGAGGCACGCGAAGAAGGGGAGCCGAAGCTGTACCCAGGACGTCACCGGGTTTGAGAGACAAGATGCCCGCAAGAGGGATGCGTTGGCAGCCACTTTGCACAAAATGTTCCTCGGAAGAAAACATAGCACATTGGGGAAGCATATCCACCAAATAGTTACCCACAAGGGCAGGCGAGCCATCATTGCGTACCAAATTGACCTGAATGAGGGTATGCTCTGGGTGAAGTTGAACAGAATGTTTGCCTGCATAGCGAAGTTGGTAACTTCCATCCGTTGCGGACAAATCGTGAGCAAATGCAGTGGCACCACAAGTGTCATGTTGGGCTAAAGTAAGCTCACCCAAGACACGGTCACCCGTACGTTTCGCACGCAAAGTGCGGTAAAAACGGTCACTAAACCGCATCCAACTATCTCTGCCGAGGAGCACGTCATGATGCATGACGCCGTCAGGAACAACGTATGCCCAAACAGCAAGAGAGGAAGGAGGAAGGTTCTTACGGAGAAACTCAACACTCAAACGGACAATGGTCAAAGTTTGGAGCGGTGCAGATTTCCCAAAACCACCCCAACGGCCAGGTTGGGTGTGTTTCTCAGACAACGTTGAAGCAGCCGAAGTCGCTTTCATGGATTCCCATGCAGAAGCACTAATAAAAGACTGCGGAAAATCCGTATCCAAAAGAGCGATACACACAAACTGCGCAAAGGCCGAACCGCTGTGGAGGAGGATTCTGATGGTGAAAGAGTCGTCATCGATGGTGACAACACCACCAACCAAATCCGGACCTTGCTCTGGGAGCGAGGAGGAGGAGGACGGGATGTATTCTGAAGACACGGCCCAAACAGCGGTGTCGTGATCCGACGGGACATTCGGAGGGTATTGCGAAAATGACGCGAACCGGTCGGTCGATGGAGGGCACGAAGCCGTCCGAAGGCGCTCGTGTGTGCACCGCAGAATGAAGGGACGACGTCGGAACGTGGTCGGTCGAAGTCAACGAAAAATAAGATGAACCCCCGATAGCCGGGGTTTTATTGTCGCCAAAGGCGCGAACGCCTCCCACATAACCGCAATCGACTCAAAGGGAGCGACCGCAGTGACCAAAACACCCGGGTACAAAAGCGGAGACAGACTCGGAAATTGCTTGTCGACCGAGTTTCGCACTTTTTCGAGAACCATGGATACACTAGGGGCCAAAGTACGCTCGGAGCCAGTCACAGACGAAACTAACAAACGGAAAGCCCGGAGATAATCCGCAAAAGGAGTACCATATGCTACGCCAAATTGTTGCAGCCGCAAAAACGACTCTTGGTGGTCTCCGACGTCAAATTGCTCCGCCAGGTGACGCAACAATAGCTGGAAAGCGTCTGGTCCAAGGGCTCCTCCATCCAAGCTCCGCTTCACTTGCTGAAAGAAATCAGAAACGGCAAGGACGAGATCGGTGGTAGAGGGCTGGTCGGGGGTGATCGCACTCAAAAGTTTTTTTTCGAGAGGACGTTCCCATCCACGCACAAAATCGGCGCCTGTCAAACCTTCACTCTGCTCATCGCACAGCAGCAAAATATCGGACAAAGCCGTTCTTGTTGTGCGAATAAGCTGCTGATAACCATCTCCCGGCAACAGAGTAGCGGGGAAGGGCATGGTAGCGACATTCTCAACTTTTTTCAAGTTGAGGGTGATGTACGCTCGTTGTACGGTAGCTACATGAGCATACGAGCACCTGCATCAGTCGCATCGATCGATGCTTGACGAGTGTGTGCTGTGTTAGAAGAAAGTGGCAAAGCACGATCATCGGAGACAGCGGGGGGTGCGGCGACGGCTACCGAAGCAGCTGTGGGGGCATGGTCTGAAGACAACATGATACGCAAAACACCCGGCACTGGTGGATCAAACGCCGAAGGGGGGTTGGGGTTCAAAAACCCAGGGTTCTGCATCATTCGTGGATCTAAAGCATGGCGAGCGGTAGAAAGGCTACCGGGTGCAGAGGTTTCCAAAGAAACAGGGGTGGTCGAAACCGGGGATGAGTTCGAAAACTCAACGCTACGTACATGTCCGGAGTCTACAGCATGGAATGCGGCAGAACGGACAGCAGGTGCAAAGGGTTCCGAAGAAATAGGGGAATCTAAAGTCGGGGGAAGGTCCGAAAACGCAACACGACGCAAACGCCTTGAGTCCGAGGAAAGAGGGGGGGCCGAAACCGTACCAACAACCGAAGTCGAGGGGGGGGGCGAAGCCTGTGAAAAAACATCATCATGTAAAAGAAAACCATCACTCAAAGTCGCATCCATAAGGGACGGGACTACTTGCCTGGAAGAAGCACCCTTCCGAGCGCCGTGCTTCCGGGTGAGACTCCGGTCTGAACCAGAGCCCGATCCGCCTCCCTTGCCACGAGTCCCGCTCGTGTGGGGCTTGGCCTGCTGCCGTGCCCAGCCATCGCCCGCCAACGAAGATGGCTCCGGGGGGCGGCGAGACACTCCCGCGGAACTCCAGCCCGAGTCCTCGCCCGAGCTGCTCTCTCGCAAGATGGGCTGGAGCGGCTTGGCCTTGACGCGGCCGGCCTTGGGCTGCTGGAACGCCGAAGATGCCGGAATCGTCACGGCGCAGGGGGGCCACACCACCGGAAACTAAGCGTACATGGTGGCCGCCCGCATCGCCGCGAGGAGGTAGCTCACCACATCGTGGAGGTCGGGCCGAGACCCGTTGGCCGCATCAGCGGCGTCCTGTATTGAGTCAGCCGACGGCAGGTAGCGAAATAGCAGGTTACAGTCGAGACTGCAGCAGTAACCGAGGTTACAGCTAGAAACGCCGAAGCAGCAACCAGCATTGGGGTTGGTTGTCGAAACAACAGGAAAGGAAACCGCGGTGCGAGCACGGCGGGCAGTCGAAACTGCGGGCATAGTCTAAAACTAGTGGCATGGAAACCGCGGTGTGAGCACGGCGAGCTGTCGCAACTGCTGTCACAGGCGTGAGCCGAAGCTACAGCACGTGTCCAGTGGGGTGGGTGACCGGAGTCATACAAGAAGCCAAACACAGCCGGTTAGTGCCGTTTGCGAGCAGTCGAAACTGCAGACACAGACGGTGTGAGCCGAAGCGACATCACGTGTCCGGGTTGGGTGAACGAAGTCATAATCAACCGGTTAGTTTCGACTACTCTTGATGTTTATATGCATATAATGTGGTTACATACTGACGACAAATGTAAAAGAAAAACCATGGGATACACCACCCGCTTAATAATTTGGTCCTAAATTTTAAAACGGAATTTGTTGGGGAACGAAAGAAAACGAACACCCACACAGCCAGCAGCAGAGCTGTACGGCGCTCACCCCGGAAGGTGAGTGCGGCGACAAGAGATACTGCTACTTGCATGATCGACGGAGCGTCAACGCCAAGTTTCGCCCAACAAACGCGGGGGGGAAAGAAAACGCTGCAAGTAGATATACAAATAATAAAAGCATCAAACGCCACGAAGGCGAGAAAAAAAGAAACAGCCGAAGCTGAGAAGAGAGCCAAGCTCAACAGTCGAAGCTGTCAAACATACCCAACCTGGCAAAAGAGCCGAAGCTCAACAGCCAAGCTACTGCTGTAGCAAACGAGCCGAAGCTCAAACGACGGCAGCGGCTACAGCGGAGAGCCGGGGCTCAACAACTGTTGGTGTGTCTGGAACCGAAGTTCCCTTACGAGACAGATTAGATGTGTGCAAAGGTAGAATCGAGCAGAGACACGCTGAGGCGAACCTCTCTCGCCGGATGCAGCACGAAGCTCAGACGGGCGGGCCGAGGTCATGAGAGGGTCAGCCACTCGAGTGCTACAGGCGGGAAGAGGGCATATACAACCATCATGGTCGGGACCGTAGAAATTGCAAGGCAGCAACAAAATGCAGTTCAAGTAGTCGAAACTATAGAAACAGGTGCATCACGACCAAAGGAAGCAGCCACGGCAGTCGAAACGACAGGAGCAGATGCAACGGGGGCGGTCGAAACTACTGAGACGGTTGCATTGGAAGTGGTCGGAACCGCAAAGGCAGTCGAAACCACCGGAACAGATGCATGTGAAGCAGTCAAATCCAAAGGCACTGATGCCACTGAAGCGGATGCACGACGGTCATGAAGCCGTTGGGCACGAGCGGCGGCTTGTGTGCGACTGCTACGCGACGAAAAAGGAGTGGCCGGCACAGTGTAATCAAAATGCATTGTGCGGCCAACAACAGAGCCATGAGGCAAGCGTGGCACTACAGAGCCAGTATTGTCAAAGCCAATGTCTGCCCGAACAGCAGAAGGCTCAACGGCGGTGGAGGTGAGGGGGAAAGTGGAATCAGCAACATGTGGTTCCGGCGGGAAAACTTGGGACACACCACCAGCGGCTGCAAAAACAGAAGGCTGGGTACTCGAAAGGACAGAGGTGGAAGCCGAAGCTTCTGTTGTGGGTGCTGGCAATTTGAGGACAGCACCCACGGGGTTTGCGTCAGCAGAAGCCGTGGAGGCGAACTCCTTCCGTCGGCGTTGAGCGCGAAGCTCTGACAAACGGGTGGCTTCTACGATGGGGTCAGCAGCACTCGCGCCATCCGAAGACGGCAACAACGACGATTGGGAATAGTCGGCTGTCGGCCCGAAAGCCGAAGCACTGCTGTGTGGAGACACCAGCGAGCGAGATCACTCTGAGGGCTCTGGGCTGGCCGAAGCCGAGTCCGAGGAGCCGACGCTAAGTTGAGACATGCCGATCAGCGAGCCAAAGCTAAGTTGTGTGGAGACGAAAGCGAAGAAAGCTGCGTGCAGCAGGCTCGAGTCGCCCAAACACAAACCCCAGAAAGCACGGTGTACGTATATGCCGACAACGCCAAGTGTAAAGGATGACGCCAAGTGTAAAGGATATGCACGCGCGGTGCAATCTAGGAGACCCGTGAATACGAACTCACTTGTTATTAACTCGTGTGCAACAGCAGTAGCTGTTGCCAAGGGAAGGTAGAGCACTGACTAGGATGGGGCCAGGATCAGCTGCTAAAGCAGGGGCTACTAGATNGAGATCACTCTGAGGGCTCTGGGCTGGCCGAAGCCGAGTCCGAGGAGCCGACGCTAAGTTGAGACATGCCGATCAGCGAGGCAAAGCTAAGTTGTGTGGAGACGAAAGCGAAGAAAGCTGCATGCAGCAGCAGGCTCGAGCCGCCCAAACACAAACCCCAGAAAGCACGCTGTACGTCTATGCCGACAACGCCAAGTGTAAAGGATATGCACGCGCGGTGCAATCTGGGAGACCCGTGAAGACGAACTCACTTGTTATTAACTCGTGTTGAATAGCAGTAGCTGTTGCCAAGGGAAGGTAGAGGACTGACTAGGATGGGGTGTTCGTATATGTCTTTTACTTGGAAGGGGAACACCTGTGGCCAAATGGCTCACCCTGNGTTCCCATTTTTCTCTGGGCATTAGCCCGCACTACCGTTTGTACTTTCCTACACATTCAAATCCCATAACATAGGGGTACCAAAGTCGGTATCAAGACGGCACGGCGGCCCCGTGGCTCACGGAAGATAAAGTGCGGAACAGCAGCTTCTACCCCCTACAACTGCACGGGTTCCACGCCATCTGGGAAGCATACCATGACGCCGACAAAGCGGCGAGACATCCACAAATGGGAAACGAGAGGTGGGGACCACAGCAGACGCCCTACTGCCGTACTGTATCCTATCGGCGCATTGGTGGGACGTCCATTCTCTGAACGCGAAGGAAATCCCAGGATGTTCAAAGCGAAGGTGTGCGACTTCAACGACTCGTACTGGCGCGTGGTATACCCTGTAGGTGATTGGAGGAGCTCACCAGAAGGGAAGTGATCCATGGGATCGAGCGGGCAGCCCAACGTCCTGTACATGCCTGACTATTCTCCAGCTGTGGCCGATCGGGACGGTGGTGGGCCGACTATTCGATGTCCGCGGAAATGTCCGGAGACATTAATATTCAGCTGTGACCGATCGGGCGGCATGGGCCGACCTTCCGAGGCCCTCGGAGACGTTAGGGCGACAATTCTCCAGCGGTGGTTGATCGGATTCAGGGGGCGCTGGAGCAGTAATTCCGACTGCGACCCGTCCCCACCCCAAGAAACCCACGTGGATATAGCTCTCTAGGCTCTGACTCTAAACCAAGAGAACCCAAAAGACCACGACCCTCTCTCTGCAAACGAAGAAAACAGCCCTATTAATAGTGCTATCTTGTGACTAGCTATCCCGGAGGTGGAGATACAAGCTGATGCCTGTGAGACGGAAGTCCTTGGAGTCTGAAGGAAAGGAAGCGAATATCGGTGAATGTGTGCATTTTCGAGCAATCGTCTGGAGAATCATCACACCATCAGCCAGAGCGCAAACCCAGGGCGGTCGCCAGGGGAGACCTCAGGGATTATCATGCTGAAGTAGTGCTTGTGAACCCTGGAAACACCTTGTTCCATAGCTACATGCCCCGGCCAACAGGGCTTAAGGCCTCACCTGCTGCTCAAGACGGCGGTATGCACGGGTATGCGCGGATGCATGTGTGCGGAACCAGATCAGAGCAACCAGGTGATAGGTGGATAGGTGTGTCCGACATTGGCGGGGGGGGAAAGTGATGTCCGGAAGCTTGATATCGGAATCAGGAGAGCAGAGACGAGTGCCTCTTGATGATGCGCAGAGCTTGGTGGATGGAACACCTGGTGTTGAACCGGAGGGTGGAGAGGATAGGTCGCGGCGAGGATGGACAGCGCCGAAGCCGCCAGCTGGGAACGGAATGGATGTGAGGTCGGGGTGCTAGTGGGGAGGGCCAAGCTCGTGGCAAGCTCGTGGTGATGGCGTGTCGTGGCGTTGGTTTTTGAGACGGTGGCGGAAGGTGTGACCGGGCCTAGCCTTGTCAGTGGAGCGGATGAAGGGAAGCGAGAGCAGAGAAGCGGGTGCCGGAAGGAAAATGAGGTGCTCATGGTCGAGCTCAGCCCGAGTCAGCTTGGTGCCTCTCTGGTCTGTGCATGGCTAAAGATCGGAGAGCCAGGAGAGGAGCGGGGATCAAGGTTGTTTTGTTGTTTGTTGTTGTTTCTCACATTAGCTCTAAAAAAGAAAGATTGGGAGCCCGTGGTCTCAAAACCCGGCATACACGACCCCACGAAGAAACAGAAAAAAATAGGGGACAAGAACCACTCGGAAGAGAAACAAAATGATAGAAAGACCAGCTACCGCACCAAACGAGAAAGAGCGTCGAGGAGACCGATCAAAATAAAATAAAAGGAGAACGGGGAACGCTTCCCACACCCGCCTACAACACCGGAGGGTTCCGTGCCGGGTTCCCGCCGACCAGGCAGGTGTATGTGTGTGACGGGAGTAGGTTGCACTGCGAGGGCATTTATTTAGAATGTAGGACGGAGCTGGACGACTGGATTGGAAGAACACGTGTGTGTGGTGATGAGCGGCGGAGTAGGAGGGGCAAGGGATATGTGTGAGGCGAGGAGCGATGATGCCACGACGGCCACATGGGTAAACGGATTGACAGAATGCAACAGAAAGGATGGTAATGAGCGCGAGGGTGGGAACGGGGAAATGGAATGATGATAGGCAACGGAATGGGTGGTGCGTGGCGGAGGGGAGGGGGGAAAGGGTGCTAGCGGCGACGGGATTTGGGGTGGGACTGTGAGTTGGGTGGAGCGCAATGGCATGGAGTCAGGTTAACAAGGGGTGGGGGGCGGATGAAAATGGGAGAATGAGTTGGTGCTAGTGGGAACGACGGGGCGGTTGGTTGCGCCAGGAGATCGTGGTACGAAGAAAGGGGGGCTGGCGATGGAAGTGGTGAACAATAGCAACGGAGCTACAGAAGATGGAATCCTCAGCAGGATGGATGGGATGCAATGGTACGGAGCGGTGTTTGTAGGAGGAGGAGTGGGAAAAGAGAGAATGGAGGCCTTGTTGAGTGTCACTTCGAGTTGAACAATGCAAACGTTGGGCGGCTTCGTCATGTATTGGGGGTAGATAGATATGTCGACGGGGCTGTTCGTGTGTTGGTGGGGTAGGCCACTCTGTTCAATAAATGTCAACCTTTCTTTTTGTGGAGACGCCTTTCTACCACGGTGTGGCAGACCGGACCAGCATCACGGTTAGCGCCAGACCCTTATTGGTATCGACCTCTGCCTGGCAATGGCTATTTCTTGGACTATTCCATGTGTGTGCTACATCCTGTCACTCTCCTGTTCGAATATTGACTTGGGTCACCCGCCCTCAAGACCGGGTAGCCGCCGACAGCAGTCAATAGCTGAAGCGACATAGGTGCTTGGGACTCAGCAAGTACTTTACAGCGAAGAAAGTAAAAGGATCTGTCTGCCTCGTCGTAGTTCCACAGAAGCCTATGAGCACATGCAGGGACATGGTGTGCAAGTAGATGCCTACCCGTACATAAATGCTCATGCCCGAAGTCCACCCCCTCCTCACGATGTCTCCTCTCCTCGCGGACGGGGTAAATCGATTTTTTTGTTCAATTTTTTATTGCCTATCGACTGGGTAGCATCACGTGAGGATGAACTAAAAACCCCAACCAATAGACCACCCTATAAAACCCGGGTCTTGGATCGTGGCGATGAAACAACCAATAGCCGAGCCCCCGGCTTTCCGCAAGAATATCAAATAAAAGCGAAATATAGGCAAGCCTCCTAGGAGACGAAAAGAAACGCAGAGAGGAACGGAAACAAACGTGACTTCCCGATGTCCGGCGTTCAAAGACATAGAGAGGGACCGGATGGGCGCGGGCGGGTGTGTGAAGCGCACCCGTCCTTGCCTGGGTTAACCCGAATCCCTCACACTACCGTCACGGCGTTTTCTCCCTCAGCCATCTCTCTACTGTATGCATTCATCACGTTCGCTCCGAATTAACTATTGTGGTGGAATCGAAGCCCCCTTGCAAAGCAACTGCATCATCAACAGTACTAGTCATCAAACGCACCAACGACAGGGGCGAGCGAGACGCACGAGCGTAGGCACCTCGCCGATCTACGGTACGGCATGCATTCCCTTTCCGTAGCCCCTGTCATGAATTGATTCCACCCACCCGCGCGTCCTTTCACGCACATCAAGAAAGCACCGGCTACGGGTATCGAGGCCCAAAAATAAAAAAACAAAAAGAAAACGTATTTCATCAAGCTCTCCCGCACAACCAACCAACCGCATCAACCCATTCCATTCAATGATGATAAACGTGAACCTGAACTTGAACAAACTTACGCCATGGCGACGGACCACTCCCTGACACAACAATAGCTACAGCAGCAGGGCACGACCACAAAATGAAACGACAAAAAGCGATTACGATACTACAATATATATGTAGAAAAAACAATGATCAGACAGACCCTTTTCCCCCTTAGTCCCAACCCTCGTGCGAACCGCAGATGAACTTCGCAGTTTTCATACGCCTGCAACACGGCGGCAATCCCTTCAGGTGAATATAGGCTTTCGATGAAACCGTGGATTCTATCTCTCATCTCTCAGGAATTGGCACGCCCTCCCCCCCCCCACCATACATGCTGCTGATGTTGCCGCAAGGATAGATGGTGCATGCTGCGCTACAGGGCGGGAACGGGTAAGCTGGGCCAACTATATGTGTTCGTTCCTTGCACGGGTGGTACGCGGTGAACACTAAGCCAACCTGGCCCCCGCACCGTACTTCGTATAAAGAGATGAGAACTCAATTCCGGTTCGATCCAACCCCATCCTCCTCCTCCTGCTGCCGATCTACACGCTGGGGCAGGCGCACAAGGTGATTCTTTAAGCTATCTATGCGGATCGCCGCGACTCCACAGCTGACGTGTTACAAGCTTAGCTAGTTTCACTAAGAAAATCAAAACACCGTGTGAAATGATGCAGGGGTAGGACGTAGTACAAAGTTGATGGCATTCTCTGCACTCGAGAAAAGCCCCCCGCACGTGGCGAAAACGCCAACAACAAAAGGCGCAAGCTCTCCGTTTCTTTAGGTATGCTCGCCCCCCCCCCCACGGACCGTGAAAACAACCCCAACCACCCTTGCTAGCGAACAGATGCCGCGGCACAACGTCCATCAGATATCGATTGACAAAACGTGCTTCGTAGAGCGCACGAACACAAAGAATAAAAATTAACGGACTCTTAATTCCGGGGGATATTTTCCGGACCGCGACGACGACGCGGAGTCGACGAGACTGAAAAAACAATGATCACAAATTGATGGTACTGATAAACGAGCTAATGGGCACCCTCAAGGACCACGTGTGCTACAAATGGTACAACGATGCATTCGTTTTGGTGAACTTGCGTGTGCGTGTGCGGGGGGCCAACGTCACACAGGGCAGGAGCACAGCAACAACTTACTCTAGGCATGACTGAGGTGACCGTCGTAAAATAGTCGAGTTGGTTACGACCAACGCACAGGGTAGCGACAGATGATGACAAGCGGGGCAGCTGGCCGTTTGGTGTCACATTCCGCCCACAAACAACAAGACAAGATGCCCCAACAACACAAGCAAACCCGAAAATGGCGACTGGGATTGCTTCGCCAGCCCCCCCCCCACTAAAAATCCTACATCTCCTCGCTCTTGTTGCGCCGATTGTTGGCTGACAGAACATTCTTTATGCTGCCCTCCCACATACCGTCCCCTCCCAAGGGGCCGAATAATCAAAGGAGAAAAACTGCATGCCTGGCATGCGCTGACAACACCTTTTCAAGCCACCAGACAGAGATGAAGGGCCTAAGACTTCCGCTCACTGCGGGATTGTTGTAAGCCCCCACTCCAAGCATTTTTTCGCACCCATCCCTCTTCCCATGTTGCTTCTATGGCACGATTGACTCGACGCACCAACTCGAAAAAAAGCTCTGACGGTACAACATAACGTCACCATCACATCACCAAAAACAAGAAAAACTACACAGTTCCGCTGTAGTACAAACCGTATCATCAAGTAGGGACCGACTGCCGTTCTCTTCTCAACTTACTTTTTTGTTCTCCTTGTTTGCTACCCCCGCCCCCCCGCCTCCCCCCGCCTCCCCGGACGCGCTAGCGAACGTCAAACAAAAAAAAAACTGGAAAAACCCAGTCCACACCAGCAGTCGAACAAAAGCAAGCCCTGATTATTCTGCGCCCTACTAAAGTAAGGGCTAGCGGCCTCGACATTGAACGGCACCAAAAACGGGTTCACAATTTTCGGAAGATAGTAAGAAAAATAAACAGGTTGAGGTCTAACTAATCGACCGCTCAAAGCTGAGCCCCCCACCGACCACCCTCTAAAACTCCCACCACCGACTAGAACGGAAAAGAAAAAAAAACGATTCCAATATACCAGAGTCGTTCACGGCACAGGTTTTTCCCCGATCGGGAAGAGCGTAGAGTTAGATACAACAACGAAACGGGCGACAAAAACACAATGACACAAGCATGAACAACATGCACGAGCAGACGGGTGCAACGGACAGAACGCGCTCGCGCGTGCTTGTGTAAAAATAGCGCCAACTTCTGCCCTCGTCTTCATTCTCTCCCCCGTACCCACACAAAGACATGCAAGATGCTCGCACTGCGAGCGCAGAAAAGTACACACTGATAAATGCAAGTGTAAGAGCCAGGTTAATGACTGATGGATATCTACAGCAGCACTCTCGACTATGTTCCACCATCAGAAGAGAGAAATTGGCATTGGAACAGAATGATGAACAGAGACAGCGAGCGCTTGGGAAGCAACAAAGCTGCTGCAGTTACCTACCGCAAAATGCTTGCACGGATAGACCCCACCCGAACTTACGCGCGTAGCAGGAACAAGATAGACCGGTCCGGTTCTCCCGTCTCGCATCTTCCTCCCACGGGGATTTACTCTCTACTCTCCTCTTTCTTATCGAAATGGACGCAAACTTAAGTACTCCGTTCGCACGCACACGTCACCTCACCCAACAGTCACCTCACGCGCAGCGAAACAAAGCAGGCGGAGCACTCGCGCGCGCAACACCACGCAAGAACGCGAAAAACACCAAAACTACCACTATTTTTACCCCCCTGGTGCCTGCAAAAAACAAGGGGGGGCCTGGTTGGCCGCCGACTGACGTATTCTGGCGGCGTACGAATGCTGACCCACTCGCGCAGGTTAACACGCTTCCCGGATGCACAGGTAGAACCGCTCCGTGCTGCGTACAAGGATGGCGTCGGACGGCAGACGATCCGGGATCGGCACCGACGAAGCCAACGGCGCGTATCCGAAGTAGTCCGGGTAGGGGATGCCATACTGGAACCTGTTTTTGGGCGGGGAGGGTGGCGCGGGGGCGGGAGGGGGTCACCATGCGGCCGCTAGAGCTAAGTTCACACGCAAGCGAACGGGCGTTGGATTTTGTGCGCTTTTCTCGTGCTTGAACCAGCCAGCAAATGCGCACAAGCAGCATGGCTGCCTACCGGACGAAAGCCTTCTAGCATGGAGGGACTAGGAATTCTTCGAGATGCCACGGCCTGGCCTGCGACATGGTCCGGGGAAAGCATGAGCTCAATATTTCCTGTTTGTCTCCTCAAGAGAGCTGAAAAGACGGCGCAGAGACATCAGCAGCACGAAAAATAGTTCGCTCTACCATTGCAAAAGCGGCTTTGACTCACGTACTCCGATACGCGGGCTTTAGCGCCATTAGCAGCACGAGGGGTGAATTGCGACGGTGCGATGGACGAAGCAGATGCATGTGTGCTGTCATCACGTCACATCATGCACATATTCATGTGATGCTGACAGCATATGCATACATCAAACGAACTCGCCACGAGGAGAAAACCACGCCGTTCATTGCAACAGCAACCACGCAACCTCGCGACGGCAGCAGCAGCAGCAGCAGCAGCAGCAGCAGCAGCAGCCGCGCCACCACCAAAACCCGCTGGGGCGGTACACTACGTCACAAGCCCAGCACCCTGGCCACATCTCACCCGTCCGCCCGAAGAACGATCTGCTCCAGCCTGTCCTTCCTGGTGCGGTACTTGAGGGCCTTGTTCTGCGCCGAAGTCCCCAGGGGCTCCGCCAACACGGCTTCCCCGGTAGCGGCCGCCGCGACCTCCGCCGACCGCTGCGCGAGGTGAAGCGCTCCCACGAGCTGCGCCACCGTCGCGTCGCGGATGGCCAGGGGCACCGCGGCCGCCCACTCGTGCTCGGACTCGGACTCGGCCACCGCCGCCCGGAGGCAGGTGGCGGAAACGCTCGAGTCCACGCGGAGGGCATCGACGGCGCGATTGTGGATCCACCGGACGACGCCGAACCACTGTTGAGAGAGACGGGGCAAGAGGAAGCCAGGACGGACGGGCAGGGGGGGGGGTCTACACGATTGTTGCTGACGTTGAGTCGTTTGATCATCGGCCACTCACCATCCCGTTCGAAACGGAAGAGCAGTTTTTATTTCCGCCGGAGACACCGCCAACGTTCGGGGTCTCCTCGAGCATTTCTCTCCCAATTTCATGAAAAAACTTGGCGATACCACGTGCTAAGCTGGGGCACCGGTGCAGCGCCGGGTTTTGATCTGTATGCCGCATGGCCGGTCGTTGTTGATGTTGTGTTCCGTACTATCGAGGCTTTCGAAGGACTTCTGTTACCAGGGAAATGAAGGAAAGCAACCTAAAGTCTAGATGAATGTTCTTCAAACGAGCGAGGGTCATTCGTAGGAAAAGGGGGGGGGGGGGGG